AGCAGCTCTGAAGTGAAGCCTGAGATCCTGAAGGAGGAGCAGTAGGTCCACAAATTAGGAAAGGAAGTGGTTCAAGTTGTCCAGGTTGCCAGGAAATGGAATTGACTGCAAGCAGTGCTTAGGTCTTACGACAAGCTTGGGCCATTCAGTGAAGGCCACGGGCAGAGCCAGGGAGCGGTGCTGTAGCGTCTGCAGATGCTCTGCTTCCCCTCCCACCTCTGCTTACTGCACTGGGGGGAAAGAAAAAATTGGGCTTGAGGCTGTGAGCTCAGAGCTAGGGTAACTCAACTAGTCTGCCAGCCGGACTGCTGTGAGTAGAGCACTGATAACTTTGGGCTGCTTTTTCCATTACTTATGTCTTTCATAAGTAGCATTCCTTTGTGTCGTGCAGGACTGGGCACTACGTGATGTGCAAGCAAGAGATCTTTGCCTTTCCAACTTGCTGCTTTTAATATTCTTCCCTTGGATTTCTCTAGAGTGTTTTCATTTTAATTGTCAGTATAGCTTACCAGATATTTTTCACTTCTTGTTCAGAAGGAGAGAAGGACCCCCTGGCCCACTTCTCACTATTGGAAACACTGTTGGAGATACGTTAGGTAAGAATCACTCCAGCAGAGGAGCAGCAGGAATCCGGAGGCTTCTACGCAGAGCCAGCTGATCGGCAGGGCTGTCCTGTGTGCTGCTGCTGCAGGGAGCCCCTGCAGCCAGCACTCTGCTGAACAACTCACTGGTGAGAGGGAAGCTGGAGAGGTGTTATTTGGAGATTCAAGTCCTCTTGGGCAAAGCCAGTGGAATTAGTTTTATTTCTTCCTTTTTCAGAACTGGCGTGGGAAGGAGAGGGCACTGCTTTGAAGGGAAGAGTTTGCTGCTGTAGTGAGCAAAATTCATCTATGTATTCATCTAGGGCTCCATCGTTAATCCTATTAGACTTCTGCTTTGGAAAGTGGCTTCGTTCCTTTTGAATCTTACTCTAAGGAAGCTCTGTGTGTTGAGTTTCAGGCTGAGCTGGCTTGTAAAGCTTTCTGGGAGCTTGGCAGACCCTTCCCATGGTCTGTCCTGTTTCTGCATGTCTTGTGTTTCTTATTAAAAGCTGCATCACCTTTGGGTAGCTGGAAGGCAGTTTACCGTGGAAAAATATGACTTGATGATTATACTAAAATTTGGCAGAATTCTGGATTAACTCCAGAGCAAAGCCACAGTAGGTTGGGAACCTATCATAGTGTATATAATGGCAGTTGTCTTATGGCTGAGACCTGCTTCAGAAGGCGGCTTTATGTTTGGCATCTCATCAGGTCCAGCTTTTTTACCCTGTTTCTGTTGTGTACTGGCACAAGATCCCTATCTTTCCTTCATTTCTGCATTCCCTGAAGCTGCTACCGTGGCTTCCCTGTGTGCATGAAACTGGAGAAATGTTTGCAATGGGTGAAAGTTAGTTCTGATGCTGAACCTGAGCTGATAGTTTGTTATTGCTAGATCCTGCTCCTGTCTGCAGAATTCTCCTAAATCATACTGGTTTGCTGAGCTGTGAAGGTGGCATTGCAGTTGGGGGTACGAATCTCAGCCTATGTGCTGAGGTCTACCAGCTCAAAGCAGCACAAGTCCTGCACAGAGCTCTGGGTTTGGCTGTTTTCCCTGAGAACTGGAGGGGTCACAAAATGGAGGCTGTGGCTTCTCTGGTCTGAGACAACAGCGCCCAGAGGGAAAGAAATCCCGGGAAGAATTTCCTCATTCTTTTGCCCTGTCCCACCCTGTTTGTTCTCTTATGCAGTAGATTACTGCAAAGTGAAAAGAAATCTTTGTGTGCGAGTGTCCCTGGTTACAGTGCAGCACCGAGGCAGGTGTACCATATGGTCTGCACCCTTCAGGTGTGCAAACACTGAGAAATGCTGGAGCCTGGTGCAGCCTCTGTCTGATCCAGGTCCCCTGGCCAGGGTGCTCAGGAGCCCGCCCCAGTGCCTCTTTCCTTCTGTGCAAACATGAAACAGGCAGCAGTCGAGAGATCAAGTCATCTATTCAGACAAAAATACCTAATGCTGAAATGTTGAGTTTGCACAAGACTTAAACCTATTTAGAGAATTTGCTGCAATAGAAACTTGCATGTTTGTGGGTTTTTTTTTTTCTTCCCAGTTCTGGAGTCGACTTGGTAAAAAATGGTGACTTTGTTTCATGGCCAGCACAGCTCCTGTCAGTCAGCTCCTCTCTGCTAAAGCAAACCAGAGCTTTGTAACTTGAAATATTTGCCTTTAATCTGTTCTTCCTGCTGTCCCAGATACTGTTTTTTACCCCAAGATACAGTTAGAGACCTGCCAGACTGTAACTCACTGGGTTACTCCACTGGACATGATTTAGTTTTAAACATAGTTTTTGTCCTGTTATCAGAACAGGTAGCAGAAAAAAATGGCTGCAGTGTCTCGGGGTAGGTTATTTTCTCTTACATTACTTAATTCCCATGCTTTTCAGTATCTCACAACGTGTCTTTCAGTGGTAGGTAACTGCAGCAGGGAGATGGATTTGGTGTCAGAGCCCCAGTATGGAAAGTTGCTATGCTGGTGAGCATCAAGCATAGCCTTTCTAAGCTGTACAGGACCCTGCCCAGCCACATGTGAATGCTGCCCTTGTTGGTAAGGCTAGTATTCTGTAAATATTTAGAGAAGGCACATGTTGTTTTTCCTTTTCTGAAGACCAGTGACAGTAAATTAGGAAAAACTGGGCAGAAACCAACCACAAAGGGAGTTTTTAGCCTGGTAAGAAATAGCTTCTGTGGAACCTGTGGAGTTGGAAAGAAGCGTAACATTCTGAAATGAATGAATAGTAAAACTGGACTGTAGTCATCAGTGAGAGCGTGTAACAGCCAAAGCAGAAGCTGTGGGTCAGTCAACTGAAAGAAGAGGGAAGAGAGATTTGGGCCAGAGGAGAGGGGAAGTTCTTGGTTTACTTCATTCCTCTCATGGGACTTATCTTTGATCTCACAGTTTAAACCATGTTGGCTGCTCTTCCTTCTCTGCTGCAGAAGATGTTTTGAAGCCTGTGTATCTTGGCAGATGATTCTTTTTCCAGCTGTTTGTATTTTGGAACTTCAGTTCTAGCTCTTGAGCATTTGGTCTCAGAAAAAAAAATGGGATCTTAAAAGCTTTGCTATGTGAAATTTGTGCTGTTTGCTCTGGTGTCCTTAGGTAATGCTTATCTATGTCAGGTGAGCTGTTTATTGCATTAGTCTATTTTTTTTCTTTTTTTTTTTCCTCCTCCTGAACATTTTTCTGGGCTGTTTTTCTGGTCTTAATGTCTAAGTAGAGATTAGAGATGATAATAGGTACAAGATGTTAGCAGAAGTATGGACAGGGAATACATTCTGCTTTTAGGCAGGACCAATAGACTATGAGGTAACTTTCCAAGCAAGTTGTTGTGAAGGAGCCTGATGCAGTAAGAGATATGCTGCAAACTTTATCTGCACAGAGATGCAGAAAATACCTGAGCCACCTATTGTGGATACAGCTAATACTAGCTGACTTGAATGCAAACAGGTGCCTAATTCCATTCTTCAATGCTAGTGTTTGCAAGGAGTGTTAGTTCTTTCTCTTGCTTCCTGCACTGTTAACATAGCTTCCTTGTTCTCCTCAAATCTTCAGCTTCTCTCATGGCTCTTTAATTCCAAAGCCTTCGGAGGCCACCTCCTGTCCCTTCTGCTCTGCAGGGACACGTCAACTGTCCTGAGTCCCCAGCGATTCCTACACAGATCTGTTGTAAGGTCACTGTCACAGACTGAACCAGTTCCACTGGCAGCTCCTTGCTGTTTGGGTTTTTCGTTTGCTAGCACTGCTTTCAGTTTGGAAACCTTTTCTAGAGTTTCACTTTGTATTCTCAGTCTGAACCTATCTGTTCAAATACCCAGTATCTTTTAGTTATGATGCTCTTTTCTCTGCAGAGATCATTTCTCTAGAAGGACTAGAGTCCATCTTATCTCTCTCCTCTTTTTTTTTTGTTTTTGTTTAATAACAACTTAATCAGACAATGTATCTGTACTTTATGATTTCATTTGATTTTACCTGTGATCTGTGCTGGGAGGGCACATGGAGTTCCAGACAGGGTCCAGTACAGCAGTGTCAGTACTTACCTTCAGTGATGTCTGACCTGCACTTTCTGTCACTATGATGAATGTGCTGTTTCAGGACTGACTGGTATTCCCACATTGTTTTTCCTGTTGCTGTTTCTACCTGAAGAACTTTCACTTCACACCAAGAATCATTACAGGTTATCCATCCCAGGTTGTGCTGGGGTGCAGACTGAGAAGCCATGGGCACCTCTTGGCGTGCTTTTATTTTTGATGTAGTGTGTCCAGATGTACCTGATTTGCAGTAACCTGATAAGGGATTTAGACTGTCAGCCTTCTGAGTGTTTCTCTCATTGTGTGTAATGTGATTAGAGGGGAGATGTGACAAAGTAAAGCTCATGGAAATGCAATTGGATTGCCTCTGGCTGTTGCAGACCTGTAGGTCTTGTACCACCTAACATAATTTCTTTGTTAAACATGTTCCCAATAAAAGGCATAACTGTCAATTAAGAGAAATACTGTAACCTGATCCTTTAGTATATGCAATTTAAAATGGTACTTGAGATATTTTTTGCCATTTGCACGACTGCAATTGAGAAGAGACAGGGTTTTTTTCTTCTGACAGATAAGAAATGTTCCTTTGTGCTGAGCACTTGTCCCCTTGTGCTACCTCAATCACATTAGGCTGTTTTTCTGGCAAGAATGTTTAGCAGCACAGTGCTGTAAAGCTGCAAGGGACACACCTCCTTTATATTGTCCTGCTTGCTTTGCTGTATGTTCTCTAGCTGGAGTCCAGGACCAAGGGGGTGCTCCAGACATTTATTCCTAGGCAGTAGTTCTTAGGCAATATCTTGATGGCTTAGAGTATTTTCTCTTTCCATAGCAGCAAAGAAACCATACTCTGCTTAGACAAGTGTTGCTTCCTATTAGATTTTTCCCCTTTGTTTTTCAGGGTCCCATTTTTCGACGTGCCTTTTTGAATGCCTCTGCAATAAAGATGTCTCACCACATGATGAACAGCTCCACGTTGCCGACCACACATCCTGAACATCACCATTCCACAGCGTCTCCGGGAGGTGGTCATGGATCTGGGATGATGATGATGGTAAGTGGTTAGTCAGCATTAACCTCAAGCTTTTACTTGTTTGTGGTTCAGGGTAACTTGTCTTGCTATTCAGAATTGGGAATTTAACTTAGCTGTGAAAAGCATGAATCAATCCAGTTAAACACAAGCCCTGTTGTGGTTCTTTGATGGTGAAGGAGTGGTAGGAAGTGCTGTGCAACATGAGATGTATTTCAGAACTGGGATCCTACGACAAAACGCTCTTCAGCGAAAACCTTTCTAGCAGCCAGTCTGGGATCTGCTCTCTAGCAAACTAAACCAGCAGAACAAAGCAAACATTTTCCTGCAAGAAAAGGAGATGGACGGAGTTTGCCTGGGCTATTAGTAAAAGCCTTAACCAGCACTGAGAGGAATGCACGTTGTTGTAATGGATTGTGTTGACCTGCAGGCAAAAAAAACTCCCTGCCCTTTTTCTCCTGAACTGTAGCACCTGCTGGGCTTGTGGAGCAAAGTGCTTCAGGGCTCTCTGCCACATTGGCATTAAGGGTGTGTTGGTCCTGAGTCCTGCTGCTCTAGCTGACTTTGATTTAAGCAAGTTCAGACTTGTGAATGCTGGCATTACTAAAGCTTTGCAGAGATGCTGGAGTTCCCATGGAGGTGACTGTAGGATCTGTGCCAATGAAAAAGTTCTAGGTACTTTTTCAACTATCTCTCTTTTTAAAATATCTTTGGAGTGAGTCTGAGATTATTAAAGCATGGCTTAAGCTCCAAAGGGAGGGGAGAGAGTGTGCATTTCAACTTAAAAAGAGAACATGCTCCAAAATATACTTTGTAAACCTTCATTTGAAGTTTGCTTGCCAGTCGTATGTCCCAAAGAGAAGCACTGTTGCTTCTTCTATTGCAAGCATATCATAGGAAGAGAGGAAAGGATTAGAGCATCCTTCCTCTTTGTGAGCGTGGTCCTGTGCAGAGTCCAGTAGTGCTGGAGGGACTTGCATCATCACTGGTGGCTCCTCTGGAAGAGTCTCAAGAGCTCCTCAAGAAGCTCACCACGCAGTCTCACAGCTACGTACTGGCATTCTTCAGTCTGTTAACTTCTGAGCAGTTCTTTACAAGTGTTAGGTGTGTATCTTCAATGGATAATTGCTGGACCCTGACTGCAACTGAAAAGTCTGATCAAGCACATAAGATTTTGAGTTGACATTGCTCATAAAATGGAGAGGGAAGGAAGTAAATAGGTGCAGCATCCTAAATCATCGAATGGACACATTAATGTTTGCATATTTCCATTCCTCACTGGCACCGAGTCACAAGCTGCGCTTCAGCTGCGCTGTTTGTGCACCTGGGCTGTCACACTTTTTTGTGAGCTTTTTTCTTTTCATGAAAAATATTTAAGTGATTAAAGAAATGGTTGTTTTATAGTCACTTCTGCACTGGGGTGATGAATGTCTGTTGTCCTCAAGACGTGCTGAGCTGCAGTGTATTTACCCAGATGGGAAGATTATATGGACTGTGGCTGACCTGGGATTGCATCCCCCCTTCTCACAGTATTCTCTGGCTGGGTTCAGGAATTCTTATTTTCACCCAGGGGTGGCTCTGATCCCGCTTTTTATGTTTTTTACTAATTACTGTCCCTTTATTTAGGCCTCTCCTTCTCCCATAGGGTGTTGAGGGTTTCCATGGAGAGATGATAGTCTGCTGGCACAGTGCAGGAACAGGCCAGCAGTGAGCTGTCCAAGCCCTTATCTGTGTGAGCTTATGTGAAGCTGCTGGAGAACTGCTCTGTACGCCAGCCAGTGAGAAGTCGTGGAAAGGCAAGGTTGAGCTCCACAATGACATTCCCAACTCCTGAATACTGCTGTGCTGGGGAGAAAATGAGCTTAAAAAGCAAAGAGAAGGCTCTTTTCTATAGCAGTTACCTTGGAGGAACATGCCTACTGCCCAGGGCACTACCTAAAAGAGCTTCCCACTAGAACTAGAAACTGCAGTGTCTTCAGCCATTCCTGTGCTGTGTCTGTTCTTCAAGTCAGTCTTGAGACCAGCTGAAATGATTTAAATTCTTGTCATAGCAGCAATAACCTTTGCTGTATTTTTGTGAGCTCCATCTCAGCATGAGCTATTCAGGCTCATCTGTATGTTCTTTGTGTCTTGGGCAGGCGATGACTTTCCACTTCAGCTACGAGAATGTGCCCTTGCTGTTTTCTGGTCTTACAATCAATACTCCTGGAGGTTAGTGACACTGCTTTGTCCGTTCCAAATAAAATAATTGCAATTACATTTGAATGTTGCTGGAATTACCTTGTTATGTGAAAAATATCCACACGTGCTGCAACAAATCTGTTCTAAATGGTACGGGTTGGGGGAAAAAAAGGAAGGTGTTTTAAGTAGTTCCAGAGTTTGACTTGTCTTCCTAGCTGAAGTGGTTCTAGTTTCAATTAATGGGTGAAATTCCAGTTAGTGTGTGGGTTAAACTCACTTTTCCCATCTGCATGTGTATGCCTGGTGCCCAGCTATGAACTGCAGTGTGGCATGGTTGTTGAATCACATGGTGTCTTTTCTGACATATTCCGAAGCAAACCTCTTCTGTTGCACAGATAGAATAACACTTCCTCTTTTGTCAGAAATGGCTGGTGCTTTTGTGGCCGTCTTCTTCCTAGCCATGTTCTATGAAGGCCTTAAGATTGCCCGGGAGTGTCTGCTCCGCAAATCCCAGGTCAGCATTCGCTACAACTCCATGCCAGTGCCAGGTCCCAATGGCACCATCCTGATGGAGACGCACAAAACTGTTGGGTAAGAATCTAGCTTCCTCCTAAGACAAATCTCTTCAGCACCTGAGAAGGGAAAAAACTGGGACAGAACAAACTTTATGCTCTCTGCAAAGTAAATTACATTCAGGCTTGGATGTTGCTTGAACTGCTTGGCTGCCCAGGATGGAGGACAAAACAGGGAAAGCGGCAAGGAGCCAGATGAGCTTTTAAAGAATACATTTTGGGGAGCTCCCAGGAACAGAATTTGGGTGTTATCACTAGTGACGGGCAGAAAATACTTACAATTCTCCTGTTGACAGCATCTACTCAGGAAAAAACAAAACAAAAAAAACCCACTCTGCTTATTTATGAAGGGAAAGATAAACTTTAGAAGTTTTGTTTCTCAGCTAAAAGTTTTGTCATCACAGTGAATGCTGAATTTCCCTTACTGTTGATAAGCTTTGTGGAGAAAAACACAGTTACAAGTGAAAAATGCATGTTGCAACTTGTCCAGACTGCTTTATCTTCTCTGCCATTTCACACCCACCTTGGCATCTCATTAGCCCAAGAGCTAAGTTTTCTCATAAGGAATTTGCATTCTGTGTCTCATGAATGGATGCTCACTGTTCTTTGGGTTTTGTGTTCTCAGGCAGCAGATGCTGAGCTTCCCTCACCTCCTACAGACTGTACTACACATCATTCAAGTCGTGGTCAGTTACTTTCTTATGCTGATCTTCATGACGTACAACGGATACCTCTGCATAGCTGTGGCAGCAGGGGCAGGGATGGGTTATTTCTTCTTCAGTTGGAAAAAGGCAGTTGTTGTGGATATCACTGAGCACTGCCATTAATACTGGAACTGCCCAGAAGCTCCTCCATCCCACTGCTCTCTTAAAATGCAGCCATCATGAAGACTGGATCATCCTAAGCTGAAAGAAAAGACATAACAAACGTCTGCTGGAGTTCACCACAGGTTCCTAGCTGGGGTGCAGGGATGTGAGAAACTGGGATATGCAAGACCCCCATGCTGCACGTGGGCAGCTCAGGAGTCCCACATTAGCTGTCCTTGGCTAGGATTTGCTTTAGTCTCAGATTATGCCATGGCAGAAATGTAGAGTTTATTCTTTTTTTTTTTTTCTTTTTTTTTAAAAAAAGAAACATTTTATTCTAAATTGTAAATGCTTGTCTGTGAGGATTTTATGAACAATAGTTAAAAATGGGCATCACCAATGGAGCCAATGTGTGCAAATGGCTATTTTGTAGCCTAGTTTAATATTACATATTAATAATATAATAATATATAATATTAGTTTAATATGTACACAGTGCCAGTGGAGATCTCCCTGCCATTGTGGCTTTTGGGGCCAATGACACCTTCTAACACAGAGGTTTGCAGAGGAAGACGTGCTGCTCATCAGACACACTCAGGTCTGTTCCAGCGAGTGAGAACTTGGACAGAAGTATGTGAGCCCTGTGCTCTGGGGGGTCGAGATGAGTCTGTCCTCCAAGCCCACCACAGTATGAATGTTGCTAGATTTCAGATGCATTTTACTCAGTGGTTTTACTCAGCTTCAAGTGCTAACATTTCAGTTTGGCTGCTTTCACATCTGAATCGTTGCAATGTATGGGGTAGGTGCAGGACAAAAATTGCATATTTACAGGGCAAGAAGATTTTAAATAGACCAATGAACCTGTATTAACTTCAGGTTCGGTTGCACCTGGATGTGTCTAGAGCTAGACTTCTAGCTTACTAATACTAATTCTGTAAATGAAGCAAGAGATAAATATTAATTTAATTACACTAAAAGCTAAAATGTCATAACAGGGTGTTTCTTGAGTAAAATGAGTGAAATAAAATAACTGTGTTCCTGTAAGAGAGAAATTTGGGGAAGAAAGAAACATTGGGACTACAGCAGTCCTTTGTTAATTCAGTTAATTTGGAGTTGCTCGGGCTGATTTTAAAAAAAATTAATGTCAAAAGTAAATGACTCCTTAGTAATCATGCTGTGACTTTGTTAGCTCGGAGGTGCAAGAGTTGACAGTACCAATGGTGGGCACTTGTAGTAGCACAGTCAAGAACTTTCCGTTCAGGCTGTGAGCTTTATACACATTTCACAGGCAAACCAGGGTAACTTTCTGGATGGATGAGGCCCAGAAATTGCTTTGGGAGCAGTTTTGTTTTAGCACTTAGTTGTTAAACTGCTCGTGTTGCAGAAAGTTAGAGTACAGTGCAAAGCAGAAGACTCTTCTGTCCAGGATTCCCAATTTCTGCCTGTAAATGGCAGAAAAGGGGGATACTGGTATTTTTTAGATGGCTAAGGCAAAACAGGCACCACTTGGACTGATAACTAGGATGTGCCATGTGAGAACAGGAAATCCTTTTAAGTGTCTGGGCACGCGCAGTAGCAGTTCTTTTCTCTGAAGGTGCTACTAGTCACACTGTTAACAGCAGCAGAGTAAGGAAAGCTGACCTTTGTGAAGAGGGGTTTAGGCTCCTTTAGCCTGTGTGCCTTATGCAGCCAGGCCCAGCCTTCTGTCTGTGCTGCTCCTGCTGCCACCAGTGGAGCCTAATTTCTTTGCAAGGCAGCAGGAAATCTGTGGCTGCTGCTGCTGGGCATCCTGCTCAGTTCTTGAATTGCACCACCTCAAGTTAGCCTTCCTGTGGGTGGCCCCAGGCATTTAATTGTCTGCCTTGTTTTCTTTGGGCAGTGCAAATACTGAACAAAGGAGAAGAATTAAAAGCAAGCTCAGCTTTATAGTTTCTTTCTGTAGCAAATTTGCATCTGATTGAAAGAAGCTTTCACAGAAAAGTTCTGGACACCTCCTGACAAATAGGAAAAGCTCTTCCAGATCTCTGGAGGGAGTTATGTATAGAGCAGGCCACAGAAGGACATAGGTAGACCATAGGATGCTCTTTTTTCTGCATCTGTCACAAAGGAAAAAACTGAGTCTCTAAGCAATCCTATTTCTCTGTGAGAGTGGAATACAGGCTCTTCAATCTCAGTGTGTGAGCTGCGAGGACATCTTAGTGCCTGTGAGTGAAACACAGCAGGGTGTTGGAGTTGGCTGTGTTCTGAAAGAGGGAGAGACCTGTCCTGTAGAGACCTCATCTCTGGTTTGAGTTCAGAGCTGATGTTCTCAGCACCAGTCTGTGGTTTTCCTTGAACAAGCTGTTGCTGTTGCAGGGATGTGTGACTGTAGTGTGTCATGTACCTCTTCCTATATCATTCTCTAAAATAAAACTTATGCTTGACTTGATCTTGCTATCAGTGAAGCTTTTTAGCCACCTTTCCTTTTGCATTCAAGTGTCCAGACTTGAATTCTCTGATTATTCCAATCAGAGAAGGATAAATTGGGGACTATGCAATAGCTGTGGCTTTTACAATAGAAGTTCAATTCTGCTAGCTTTTCTGCATCATTGTACATGCATCCTCCCTTGAAATCATCTCTCTCTTGATGAGTAACTGTTGACAATCCAGAAAAGCCATGTACCTCCCTGCACCCCAGCCTCCCTCAGGCCCACCAGATGCCACCAGCTGCTCTGTTGGCCCAGCCTGCTGTTTGCTTCCCCAAACTGAGCAAAACCTGGCCACCCTGATGATGACTTGCACTGACTGCGTTTGATGCAGTCCTGGCCTTTATGCTGGCTGTATTTAAAGCTGTCCTGTTGTTAACACTAAACTTGTGTTGAGTGGTGCTTGGAGGGAGATGAGGACTCTAATGATTATTAGAACCGAGTAAATTCTATTTGTATGCCAATATATGTAGCATGCTTAGAATGTGATTCCCATGTCTGTCTCTGCGTGCACCCTGATGTTTTGTCCTGACACGCTGTGCCTCTGGATTACCAGCTTGGAAGAAATGCACAGGGTATCCAGGCTGTGTTCATCTGTGGGCTTCTGTTGTTTTTCTCCCAGTGCCTTCTCAGTTGATCTGGAGCTAGTCCCAACAGATCCAAAAGGATGGATAGTTTTGTTTACAGTGGTCTGTCACTTTTGATTTTACTCTTGCTCTTTGTGAAGGTAACTTGTCTAGTAACATATCAAAGATCTCCTGTATATAATTAACTAATAAAATAGATTGCATTTTATCGATGTGTGTTTTAGAATCAATCATTAATGCAGAGACTGCAGCTACAGTGAGGGCCAGAATCATTCAGTGATCCACAAGTGTCTGCTTTGCTGACAAAAGACCCAGCAGCCACAGAACTGACATGGGCTGCTCCTGCTGCTTTTCTCTGGCATGACTCCCCTGTGCCTGTACTAACTGTGCAAGTGAGCAGCAGTGGCTGAGCATCCATCATCCTGTGGCTGCAGATCATAGGAACAGCACCCCCTGAGCATCTGGTCATCAGCAGGAAGCTCTGAAGCTGCTAGTATGGGAGCGTGTGAGGTAGCTGAGACAGTCCAGGTAAACTTGGCATAGCGTGAGGAAAGTAGAGCTGGAAAGGGGAATTAGTGCTCTCCATATCTGCTGCGTGGATCTGAGGGAGTGGTGAAAGGGTGTGAGCTTGAGAGAGCTGTGCAAATGAGCCTACCTGCTGAGTGCTAGTGTTTGTACACCAAGGAATTGCATAACAGTGTAATACGGTGTTATTATGGATCATTCTCACCCATACGTGAGACATGAAGCACTGGGCTGATTTTTCTTCCCCCATGCAACCGAAGGAGACCCAGGGCCTTTGTTCCTCCACTCGAGGCATGCTAGAAATGCTGATCAGCAGAGCAGTCCCTGATCATTCAGTGCAGCGTTAAGCTCTGCTTTAGTCCCGATCGCGACGTTCCAGTTTAAGGAACAGTTTGAAGAGTTTGAAGTTTCGCGTTTCCCCACCCTGACCGGAAATGTGGTGCACCACAACAGCAGGATTGTGCTGTCAGCTCAGCCAGCAGCTGTGGGGCGCTGCTGCTCTCCTGTCCCTTCTCAGCGCTGTGACAGCTGGGAAGCGGCTGCACTGCGCTCCTCGGATATACAGCTCGGACGAGACGCGGGCGGCTCCTTCCACAGCCTTACCAGGCGGAGCAGCATCCGGAAAAAAACTTCCTGTGCTCGCTTCTAAAAAAGAACGCATTTATTTAAAACAGCACAGCCGCCCCAGGGCTCTCACAGGTGGTAAGGAGGACGGGGGAGGGCGGACCGCCCGGGGCGGCACAGCGCCGCGGCCCCGTCAGAACTCGAAGGTACCGAAATGCGCGGCGCGGACGCCGGCCTTGGGCTGGGGCTTGTAGCCGATACGGTCGTTGATGATCTGCTCCCGGCTCTTGTGCTCGCTGCCTAGCGCGATGCCCGCCGCCTCCTCGCCGGTCGCCACCTCCGCCTCCTCCCGCTGCTTCTTGCGGCTCTGCGGAGCGGAGGGACCGCGTCAAGGCACGGCGCGTGCTAGGCCGGGCCCGCCCAGGCCGGCCGCCCCCACGGGCCCCGCGCGCACCTCCAGGTCCTTCCGGACGCCTTCGAACTCCTCGATGTCATCCAACTTCAGCTCCAGCCGCGTCGGCTTCCGCCGCAGCATCACTCCCGCCGCCGTCGATCTCCCGGCCTGCCCCGCGCGGTGCCCCGCCCCTTCCGATCTGTCTCGTACATCCAGCGTCTTCCGGTCTACCCCATCTTGTCCCCCCTCTTCCGGTTTGTCACTTACTGTCTGCTCCGCGCCTCCCGGAAGTGCTCAGTGAGGCGCCGCGGTCCTGTGGCAGCGCAGCTATGGCTTCCGTGCGGGCACCGGTGGCGCGCGGCGGGGCTCGGCCCGCTCCTGTGAGGGCCCCCGCGCCGCCTGAGGTAGGAGCCGTGGCGTTTGGGTGTTTTCCCACAATCTCGTAGTTTTCTTGATGGGTTCGTAACGACGTCAGTGTTCTGAGCACGGGGCGGCCCCCGCTGCACTGCGGGAGGGGAGTTTGGGCTCTCCTGCCCGGGAACTCAGTGTGAGGAGCGGGAGGAGCTTCATGGCTTAAAGTTGGGAACAGAAATTCCACAGAAAAACATCACCTGGAAGTCATGCCCGAGCAGATAGCAGGGGGACAAAAAGGGCCCGGTCTAATTTGAGCACTTGACTCAAACGCTACGTTTTAGCTCTTCTCTTTATGCGCAGGGTGCAGCCGTGCTGCTCCCACACGATGTCAGGGTCTCCTTGCACACCCCCAGGCCCCAGCAGATGTTCCTGCTGCAGGCATGCAGGCACTGCTCTGCTTTGCAGGCAGGGCACAGAGGGAATCGGACAATTTTGCCTTTCCTTTGCAGCCCACAAAGAGCAAACCATCAGAGGAGGGCGATGCTCCCCCTGCCAAGAGAGCACCCATCTTCTATGGCAGCCTGGAGGAGAAGGAGCGGGAGCGGCTGGCAAAGGGAGAGTCTGGGCTTCTGGGGAAGGAGGGGATGAAGGCCGCCCTCGAGGCCGGCAACATCAACATCAGCAGCGGTGAGAGTGCTCAGCCACCTGGTTTTGCCTTTCCTCTTCAATTTGACATAATCAAAAGTCACTCTGATAATCTCTGAGCATAGATTAGAGTTGAGAAGGGGAGGCTTCTGCCTGGAGTGCCAGCTTTCTGCTGGGATCTTCCTGTTGGAGAGGGATCTCCAGTCCGGCTGCCGTCTCCGGTCTGATGGTTTCCCTTTGGTTTAGGTGAGGTCTTTGATTTGGAGGATCACATGACCGAGCGACAGGCGGAAGTCTTGGCTGAGTTTGAGCGCAGGAAGCGAGCCCGGCAAATCAACGTCTCCACGGATGACTCTGAAGTGAAAGCCTGCCTGCGAGCCCTCGGGGAGCCCATAACACTCTTTGGAGAAGGTCCTGCTGAGAGGAGGGAGAGGTGCTGTGCCCGCCCTTGTGTGTTGCAAAGAGGGAATGCTCAGCTTCCCCCAGTTTGTCATATTCCTAATGTTTTCCTTGTAGTTGGCATGCAGTGAGTGCTGCCAGTCAGTGGTGTTGTGTTACAACATAGCAAGGGTTGTCCAGAAGAAAGAATGGAACACAGTGAGCGTTTGTCAGATTGTGTGAGATTTCACTGAGTAAATGCATCTTAATGTGTTTCTTTTCAGATTAAGAAATATCCTCTCAGTGGTCGGCACAGATGCATTGAAAAAGACAAGGAAAGATGACGACAGATCTAAAAAGTCTAAAGAAGAGGTGATGATTTCTCAGTGCTGGGGGAGATTTATATGGTCACCTTTTGGATACCTTATTTTAGTGGTCTCTAAGATGTTCAAACCTGGTTTTGGTCAGGGTGTGAATTCTAATGTCATCCCTTCTTTCTCTTTTTTCATTGTTGCCCATTTTAGCAGTACTGTATCAATGCATTGTGCATAATTAATGCTTCAGTGCATTAAGACTGGCTTGTACTTAGCCAAATTCTATGTCGTGTACAATATATAAAACAGGCAATTGGTGTTTGGGCTGTTACATAGTTATACCACGTTCTTGTTGTTTGTCTTCCTGCTCAGGAAGAGAAAAACTCTTTCTGCTACTGCATCCTTCTGCCTTTGATTCATCTTTCTTATTTTGGAGTCCATTTTTCCCTTAACATTTTGGGGGGCTGATGTAAGAAGAAGTCATCTAGGGTAACTGAATTGAGCAGTGCCATGCAAGCTTTTTCTTTGTCTTTCTTCTTTTCCTTACAGTATCAGCAAACTTGGTACCATGAAGGACCACGTAGTCTAAAAACAGCAAGGCTGTGGCTTGCTAACTATTCGCTTCCCAGGTAAGTAAAACTAACATAAATGAAGGAGAGAAATGCAACCTTTTGTAAACTCTTAACTACTGATCCCGTTGTGGGTAGTGCAGTAAATTTGAGATCGAAAGAATGCAGAACATATACTGGTAGACAAATCCAATGGGCTTAAAGGTTGAGTTAATAGTTACTTGACTGTAGTGTTAGCCCAGTGATGGGGAAGTAAGGGTTTCTAGCAGCAGTGCATGGGAAATTGAGACATGGGAAATTCGGACACCTGCTACTCCGTCTTTGCTCCTCACAGGGCAGTGAAGCGTCTAGAAGAAGCCCGGCTGCTCAAAGAGATTCCAGAGGCAACCAGGACATCGCAGAGACAAGAACTACACAAGTCCCTACGAGTAGGTTTGCCATCTGTTCAACTGCTGTTTTTAATGTTTTTTCCTGAATTCCAAAGAGATCAGAAAGAGAGAGCTGCCTGGAGGTGCCATCCAGGTGTATTTAATTTGCTATGCTATGCCTTGAAGAGCTTTGCACTTTCTCTCTCTTCTACACGTGTTGTAATTGTTTCTGCAGTTATTTAGAGAGATCTGCTTTTGTTGTCTTCCCACGCTGCAGAGGGATGAAAAGATACATCCCTGTGTTGATTTAGCTCTTGCCCTTGAAGCTGAACAAATTGCTTCTTGGGGTTGTCACAGGTTTAGTTGGTTAGAAAGGAACAGATTGTTTTTCTCATCCTGTGCCATGGTCACTATTCTATAAACCCAAGGAAAGTAATAACCAACACAGTAATGGAAGTTGTGCTTTAGAACGCCCCTGAGGCATCATGGTCAGGCACGTTAAGTCAGATTGCTAACTTAATGGGATGGTTTAAGCACACAGTGTGTTTACACCCCAATGCATTAGCTGCCAGTGGATTTGCTTCTCCTCTAAGAGCACTGCCTGCCCTCCTCTGTCTGGTTCTGTTCCTTGGATGAGATGTAGAAAGAGGTCAGAACTGCAGTGAGTTCTCAGTCAAAGCTTGAGTTGCAAAGCAGAGCTCCAGCGTTAGTGGTGGCAATCTGGTGGGTGGCATACAGAGTGCTAAGCTGTGCCGTGGGGCTGTGAAAGCTTCTCTCAGTCAGATGAGCTCCATGGCCCTCCTGCTTGGAGCTGCAGTAGCTCTGAGGTAACTTCTCCCTTTGGAAGTTACTTCCCTGTGGCCTCTGACTTCTTGTACCTCAGTCATTGGCCAGGACTTTCCCTAGGTCGTTTGTATTTATTCCTTGTTTTCTCTGTATTTGGTTGCAGTCCTTGAATAACTTCTGCAGTCAGATTGGGGATGATCGCCCGCTGTCCTACTGCCACTTCAGCCCCAACTCCAAACTCCTGGCTACTGCCTGTTGGTAAGTTCTCTTTAAAGCATTTACTTCAGGGCGTGGGCATCCAGTATTTGGTTTGCCTGGGCGGCACTGAGTGAAGAGGGGCCTTAGGCCTCAAGTAAGTAGGTTGCTGTGAAAGTAATGATTCGTGTTTATTTCCATGGAAACTACAACAGGTGCAGTGAGCACAGTGACTCTTTTTGATAGAGCAAGTTCTCAGCTACAGAACGCTATTTTTCAATATAGTCAGCACCATTAGCTCTTGTTCTTGGCAGTGATGAACAAGAGCCTGCATGTCACGCTCATTACAAACCACTAGAGGAAGTGAGCACTGTCACTGTGGGCACTGCTGAAATGCACCACCCACCCCTCGCTGTGCTCACATCCACTGTTTGGTCTCCATAAACATTCACAAGTGTCAATGAACATCAGTGGGTGCCATTTTTTCCTCATGGAGGAATTCAGTGACACACCTTTGCTTGTACGTGTTTCGATGTCAGATGCTGCTTTGTCAGACTGCCACCCACTGCAGAACCCCTCGGTGCAGTTTTGCAGCTTTGTTTGGTAAGTTGTTTGATGCTCCTGTCTACACTGACTTCTGTTTCTTGTGTTCAACAGGAGTGGACTGTGCAAGCTGTGGTCCGTGCCTGACTGCAACCTTGTTCACACCTTACGAGGTAGAGAATGACTTTCAGTGAAATCCTGTGTAATTCTTTTGTTCCTCTCTAGGCTGAATTCCTGTACGTGAACTGTTTTGTGTCTGAAAATGTGTTCTCTGGGCAGACCTTATTCTCATGAGAGCATCACACAGGCTTGTGGAGCAAAGACACGTGTCAGATAGTCCAGAGAAAGTCCTGACGTTTCTCTTAAAGAAAAAAAGTTTGTTGTTTCCATTTCTGGATGATGTTTTCATTTTGCTTCATTTCAAAGCCTGTTTTGAGTTATTTTGAGCCAAGTTTTAGCATTCTTGGCCAGACCACGGAGTCCCAGTGAGGTTCTCTGAACAGTGGGCACAACTTTGACTAAATACGAATCTTTTCTTTCACATATGTTGAATTTTCACTGTGTTTTGAGGGTTGCAAATCTCAGTGTTAGATATTTTTAAACGGGTGCCACTGGAATTGTAATTTGGTTGTGCAACTTTGCTCAACGTGGGAGGACATTTGGTGAAAGTATGCTCTGGTGGCTGACTAACCAGTAACTGAAAAAATGCTCCTTTTCTGGAGACTTGGTCAAGATTGGAAGATTATGGATTTTGATTTTCTTTCCTCTTAAGGACACAGCACCAATGTAGGAGCAATAGTCTTCCATCCCAAAGCCACCGTCTCCCTTGACAAGAAGGATGTCAACTTGGCCTCGTGTGCAGCTGATGGTTCTGTCAAACTCTGGAGCCTTGAAAGGTCAGAATCACACAGAGCACACACAGGTTGTTGTTGTTTGGGGGCTTACCTTATGAAACAGTGGGCATTTACTTTCAGGCAAACATGGCCTGTTATTATAACACCAGTGTAATTCCCAGCCTCAGTGTGTGTCTCCTTCTTAAGCAGGCAAAGACATCGCCCTGATTAGGGGAAACGAGGTGAGGGAAATTGTCTGGAAGGAATTTAGTCAGTGTGCTGCTGTGCATTAGCAACCTGCTGATGCAGTTGAGTGATGGGTGGAAGATCTGGAGGTGCTTTTATTCTGACCTTTCATTTAGGAGAGAATTCCCCTTCTTCAGCATTAATATCTGCTGTGTTTGAAAAGCGGAATGCTGCAGTGTCTCAGGAAGAGGCAGGCAGCTGTGAGATCCTCAGTTCATTACCCCTACCCAAAAGCTATTGTTTCTAATTGCAAAAGCATACTTGTGCCAGGCAACAATTGTTCCTTAGTCTCGTGTGACCACATCTCTTTAGTCTGCTGGAAGGATACTGTCAGTGCTGTTCAGGTCTTCCACTGCAGGCTGCTGAGGTGCTGCAGCACGTAGCTCTGGGAGAATAAATATTTGCTCCGTCCTGCCTGCCCTGGCTATCTTCAGCATAGCAGAGTTTGCTGCAGCATTAGATGTTGTGCATAGTGACAGCAAAGACGGTTTCTGCTGTTGAGACCTTCAGGTTGTCAGTTTTTGAAACTGTTCCAGGAGAACTTACTACTGAAGTTATGAATGTGGATAAAGGGCTTTACGTAGAGCTTCAGCTTTGTGAGCAAAAAGCAGCATTTAGAGTCAGTAGTCAACACTGACTTTCTTGTCTGGCTTGTATTAAAGTCTGTCTCACTGTGCTCATTGCTGCAAAGGTTTGGCTAGAGCCAGCCACCCTGACCAATGTCTGATGATCTTGTTTGCAGTGATGAGCCAGTGGCAGATATTGAAGGACACAGCATGAGAGTGGCACGAGTGATGTGGCACCCCTCTGGGAGGTTCCTGGGCACTACTTGGTAAGGGGATTCTGTTGATGCTTTTGTTTAAGATGCTATTAGCTGCAGTCACTGGGATTCATGAAAGGCTTCCTTTCTCTGCACCTCACATGAGAGCCAGTTGCAAGCAGTGTATGCTGAGGTAATAAAATATTTGGTGTTCTCCTTGGAGATTTCCAACTGCCAGAGGAGCAGCCCAGTGGCTGCTGCTGCCTCCTGAGTGAGTGTGGGATGGGAGGTGGCTGAAGACGGTGGTGCTGAAGGAGAGGGGGACTGGACTGGAGCTGAATGGTACAAAGGTGATCTGAAAATCCAGTTCCAGAAGCTGAAATGTTTGCTGCTGCTAAGAGGATTTCAGTGAAATACCCACACTCTGGCAGTGAGGATGGTGATCTTTGTAAGCGAGGCTGTTCCACCTTATTCTCTCTTCCTTCAGTTTTGAAATTATACAAAGTGAACCAAACATTCTCTGCTCATGTATGAAATCATCCTGTGGCAGTTAGTGATAACTGTTTCTTCCCTTTTCCTTTTGTGTGGCTCTCTCAGGCCATCTGTGCTCCACGCTAGCAGCTGAAAAGGGAACAGCACTTGAACAGGGCATGTGTATTTTTTGTATGGTGCATCTCTTCACCTGCCCACGGATGCACTGTGTGATCCCTTCAGGGTTTAAGGATGCCACGCTGATGTAGAAGTAGGGAAGCTCCCTGCTCTCCCAGGGGTGTGCTGAGGATCTCTGAGTTTTTGAGGTTTACAGTCTCATTCCTGTCTGTGTTTTCCTAATGCTCAAAGAAACAGGCAAAGTGGATGTCCTGGCAGCTGGTGTGTGTGTGTGCCCAGTTCAGATAGGATTGTATGATCAGATTTTAATGCTTTTTTTCTTTTAATTTAAGTTACGATCACTCGTGGCGCTTGTGGGACTTGGAAGCCCAGGAAGAGATCCTTCATCAGGAGGGGCACAGCAAAGGGGTCTATGACATTGCCTTTCACACGGATGGGTCTCTTGCTGGGACTGGGTGAGTTTGTTTCACTGTATGTGAAACATTGCCAAGGTTTTGTTGCTCACTGACTCCAAAAGCTGCAGTACTGGCGCTCTGTCAGCTGCTGAAGTCTGGAGGTGATGGAGTTTGGGTTCTCTCTTAGTGGACTGGATGCTTTTGGCCGAGTGTGGGACTTGCGCACCGGGCGTTGTATCATGTTTCTGGAAGGCCACCTGAAGGAGATCTATGGACTTAACTTCTCCCCAAATGGGTAAGACAGGAGCTTGCATGCCTTGTGTGGGAGATCTGAGTACGAAGCTCAGCTTTCAATGCATTCTTGACTCCTGGCAGATACCACATTGCAACTGGCAGTGGTGACAATACTTGCAAGGTATGGGACCTCCGTCAGAGGAAGTGCATCTACACCATTCCTGCCCATCAGAACCTGGTGACTGGGGTGAAATTTGAACGTAAGTACCTGCTGTCTGATGTTCCTTATTCCTGCCTTTCCTCTGCTGAGGTGGCAGGGAATGTGGCAACTCAAAAACGCATCCTCAGATCAGGAAGATCCGCACTGGGTAGCGGTAGAAGATTTGTCACGTGTTTATTTGCAAAACTCATTTCTCCCTTTTTTTTCCTCAACTGCAGCCAATCATGGTAACTTCCTGTTGACGGGCGCTTACGACAACACCGCGAAGATCTGGACTCACCCTGGCTGGTCCCCTCTGAAAACACTGGCTGGTCATGAGGGAAAGGTGATGGGACTGGATATCTCCCTCAATGGGCAGCTGATAGCAACGTGCTCCTATGACAGAACCTTCAAGTTGTGGACAGCAGAGTAGTTCAAAGGCACTGCTGATGAACTGGGACAGCAATGTTAATAATGCCTTTGAACTAAGACCTGGGTTTTTATATATTAAATTTTTAAAAAAGGAAAGGAATCGGCTGTTGCAACATGTGTCACAGTGGCTGTGGTCACTAGCTGGTCTTGGTTTCCTGGTTGAGGCAGTTTTGAAGCATCTGTGCTGACCAGGGCTTGGTTGGAGTCAAAGCTGGGATGATGTTCTTCCACTTTTTAGGACTTTTACTTTATATTGCAGATAGTGGTTATCTGCAGTAATTTGGAGATGAACTACCTTCTTCCACCTTCCTTCTAGGACAGGCTCACAGGTTTGCTCCAGTCTGTCTTACATTTCTGTAGGTAGCCACACAGCACTTCATGTATGGTCTGTTGTATGTTCTGTGTTTTCTTACCTTCTCTTTTCCAGGATGCTTTAACAGCAGTCTGTGTCTTCAAAAAATAAAGCAGAGTTATCTGTTAGAGGAGAGCGTACCACAGTTCCTCTGCCTCTGCAGGTTGGTCTCTGAACATAGATGCCTGTATCTCCTTTGTTTCCACTTGCAGTGGGTGTTGTAATGCCAAGAAATTTTCAGCGCACATCTCGTGTCTGAGCTCCTTGAGCTGTTTTACAGATTGGGTGTTTCACATCTCTTGTTGAAGGTTTTGATGTGTCTCACCTGAGATGATGCAAAGAAGGCTGCTTCATTGTGGGTTGTCTCATTCTAACTTCCACTGTGAGGAAATTTCTTATTTGTTATTTATTCTTTAAACTGAAGTTCAGATGTGTTCTAGAAAATCAGAACATGGCTTGAACATGTGCACTTGCTTCTGGGTCTGACTAAGAAGTGGAAGAATTACAGCGGTGTTGTGATTCATTATTTGATTTCAGTCTATCTTAAAATATTTCCAGGAGAAAAAACAGAATCACAGAATGGCCAGGGTTGGAAGGGCCCTCAAGGATCATGAATCTCCGACCCCCTGCCACAGGCAGGGCCACCAACCTCCACATTTCAGAGCAGCCCAGGCTGCCCAGGGCCCCATCCAACCTGGCCTTGAACACCTCCAGGGATGGACGGGGCATCACAGCCTCTCTGGGCAGCTGTTCCAGCACCTCACCACTCTCTGGGTAAAGAGTTTCCCCCTGATGTCCGACCTCAATCACCCCTCCCTCAACTTAAAACCATTTCCCCTCGTCCTAAAAAAAAACGATCATCTCTTCTTTGTCACCTGGAGAGCAGCTGTCCATTGTCCCTGGGAAACAGACACAGTGCTGTTCTCAACATTTGCAGTGGGGGACATCAAAAAACCACGTGTGAGTTACTTCCTTTCTTCTAACAGTGGGCTGTGTGCTCTCTGCTCCCTTAGAAGTATGGTGGCATCTGCCAAGTGCTGCATATTCTGTCTTATTTACTCCCAGGAAAAATGTTAACAGACTCGAGGCCAGGAAATAGCACAAAAGCCATATTTAATTGCTGTCTTCTCTTGTATAAGCCTAAACATCCAGCTATGTGTGCTCATGCCCCTTCTCAGGTATCATTTGAAGAGTTCATATGCTGCCAGCTGCACAGACAGGGATCTCCCTGCCCATAAGGGACAAACTCCTGGGATGTTTCTCAGCAGGCTGCCGATGGGACAATCCTTACCCAGTGCTTGTCCTGCTCCTGCCTGGCACAGCAGCATACTTCTAGCTAGCTTAGGATGAAATGTTAGACACCAGTGAACTGCATTTATACTCGCTCAGCCCCATGCAGCAGGATGAAAAACTGGAGCAAGGAGAGGAGGCTGAGCATTCCCTGCCTGATGCCCAGGCATGCTGCAGAGCTGCCGCTTGGGACCACACGGGCCAGACATGAGCCACCTGCTGCAGAACTGGGAGCCAGTTGTGTCACAGCAGGTAAAATACACACTGTTCATTCCCTGGAGTCCTCTGGAGGCACCGTGCTGTGAGCTGACCTAGCAGTGCTGATTTAAATCTGATCCAGGGAGAGACATTGATCCCTGGTTTCCTCTCACAGCAGTGAAGTCACAGCTTGGTTGTTCCTTCTTTTCACAGTAAAAGCTGTTTTCTTGGTGCAGGAGGAGTGCTCTGATCAGACACTCAGACCTGAGAAACAGCACAGAGAAGGCACGTGCTTTGTCATAGCTCATTTCTCCTCCGTTGGCTCCCTTTACAGCCAGGTTGTGTGGAGGTTTTGTGACTAAAGCCCACAATGCTCTTATCAGCAGTGAGAATTTGGCCTGAAAGCATCACTGATTCAGCTCTTCTTCTAGCCAGCTCTAATGGCTTCCCATCGCCCACAAGCAAACAACAGGCAATACATCCCCTGTGCACCGTAGCTCAGCTGTCACTGCTCTGCAGGCACGAGGTCACCTGGTGCCTGCTGTCAGTGGAAGAATTGGAGGATCAGATCCCCACAGACAATCTCTGCTGGGAAGGATCTGTGGTCAAAATACTGCCACCTTCTCCAGCTCCAGCTCCTCACGGTGCCTCAGCTGCAGCACGTGGATCCCTGAGCGAAAGCTGGCGCAGAGCAGCGTGGAGCTGTCGCAGGCAGCCAGTGAGACCAGCGGTCCAGCTCCCTCGAGGCATGCAGTGGCAAGGCAGGCTGAGGAGGAAAGAGAAAAAGTCACTCTGACACCAGGTGAGGGGAAAGGTGAGCGAAAGAAGGAAAGAAAGAGGTTTTAACATGGGGGTTGATCACATTTCTGTTTTTTATCCTGTCTTGAATTAGTGGGGAGGTGCGTAGCCATACTGAACATGTAATACCAGTGAGTTTTGCTGGGCTCAGTGTAAAGCGCATCTGTGACCCTTCTCCAGAGGCACTGTCTGCCTCTGAGCACTGAGATAACAAACCTGTGCTGCAGTGGGGCCTGGCAGGCAAGCAGCTTTGTGTCTGGCTCTGGTGAGGACCCAGCCCTCAGCCAACCCTCCGGCATGCAGAGATTCCCATTCAGGATGGTGGTTGCAGCTGCCCCCTCCACACTCCAGTGCAGCCTGTGTTCCTTACGACTTTCCCGTCCTAAGGAAAGCACTGGAGTTCCCCTGTTCTTTTTGATTTTCACTGTTTGCCTTTCACTGCTGAACTTGGACATCCCATCATTGCTTCCTGTTAGTTCAAGGAGGATGCCCATCACCTCCAGGCTCGTGCACCCAGACATCCTTCTTTGCCAGAGGATGGACACAAACTACTCTGGTGCTCATCTCCACCCAGCCCTACAGCTGCGTGAAAACCCAGGGCTGGCAGGCACACCGCTGTGCGCTCATCAGCCCAGGGAGACAGCAGCCAGGTCTGTTATCCCAGGGCAGTGCCCTGCCTACCTGCAGTGTCCCGGTCCCAGATCTTCACTTTGCTGTCGTATGAGGATGTGGCAATGCTGGGGGTGAGAGCAGGACCCCGTGGGAGGAACACACATGAGGCTGTGGTTTGCAGATGCCCTCTGTACTCACACACTCGGCTCCTCGTCTGCCGTAGGTCCCACAGCTGCAAGGAAACAAGCAGTGCTCAGAGCTCGGGCCGTCACTGCCACCTGCCAGCACGGAGAGGTTTTACAGAGAGAGGAAGGTGGGTTTGGTTAAAGAGCTCCTCGCTCGTCCTCATAGCACATCTCTGCCTTTATCCCTGCCACTGAGCACATCTCACAACACTTCAAGACCCCAAAAAGGTTTTCACCATTAATCCAAATGTGCATCTGCAAACAGAATCCCAGCACTTTAATAAGGAAGGGCATTTGCTGCTGCAGTAGACTGACAAAGGGATAGACGGGGGGGAAACTGAGCACCAGCCCAACCCGTGACTCCAGGTAAGGCCAAAGCAGTGGGAGTTGTGCTCTGCTGCAGGCAGAGCCCTGGAGGACTGAGCTGCTGCCCTGTGCTGTGTGCTGTGGAGATGGAGAGAAGCAGGAGGTGGACTGGGTGCCCTACAGACTTACTGTTGCTTCGCAGCCCTCCCCAGAAAATCCGCTGCTGCTGCTGACACAGTATCGCCCGTCCTGGCTCACATCACAGCTTGTCTGGATGTGCTGCTTGCCTGGGAATGTGTGTGCCACCTGCAGCTCCCGGCTGTCCCACATCCTGGAAGCAGAAAAAGTGGGGATGGGGACATGGAGCCATTACTGTGCTACAGGAGCCGTTGGTGCCCTCCCTGCAGCCCCACTGTGCTCCTGCGCTTTGCCACCACGGAGCAGCCTCTCTCCTTTCTACAAGCCTTTACCCAGGGCAGCTGTGTGGAGCTCTGAATTTTCTCTTTTGTGCCCATAGGCGGTGCCCAGTGCTGCTTGCAGCTGCAGATGCCCCCATGCTGTCCTCCCCCAGCAGGAGACCCAGGTAAGCCAGGAATGGCTTCCAGCCACACGTGAGGCTGGCAGATGGGGGAGAGCAGGAAGACAGGAAAAACAACCACCCCAACAGCCCCCTGTGCACTGACACTGCTTTACCCATCAGCATGTGGCCCTGGCTGCAGCTCCCACAGTATCACAGAATGGCCAGGGTTGGAAGGGACCTCAAGGATCACAAAGCTCCAACCCCCTGCCACAGGCAGGGTCACCAACCTCCAATTTCACAGCCCAGACTGCTCAGGGCCCCATCCAACCTGGCCTTGAACACCTCCAGGGATGGATGGGGCATCACAGCCTCTCTGGGCAGCTGTTCCAGCACCTCACCACTCTCTCTGTCAAGAACTTCCCCTGACATCCAACCTCAATCTTCCCTCTCTCAACTTCAAACCATTTCCCCTTGTCCTGCTGTTATCTACCCTTGTCCTTATTTGTATCTACCAAACAAGATTCCCCTCTTGTTTGTAGGTTCCCTTTAGGCACTGAAAGGCTGCAATGAGGTCACCCCACAGCCTTCTCTTATGCAAGCTGAACGAGCCCACCTCCCTCAGCCTGTCTTTGTAGGGGAGCTGCTCCAGCTCCCTGATCATCTTTGTGGTCCCCTCTGTGGCTGCCTGGAAGGATTTACCTGATGGTTTTATCCTCTGATGTCTGGATGACGTAGGGCTCCCCAGGGACCCAGCACAGATGTGTTACCTGTAGAGGGGAAGGGAAAGGTGGCGGTGATGCTAAGATTTGGGCTTAGCAGGCAGGGAGGAACCAGCAGCTCAGCAGGACATGGTGCCATGGAAACAGAGGTACCCCAGGCACCGCTCCAGAAGCATCAGTCCATCTTCACAGTGTCTCAGGGGTTTAGTGTAGTGCCGAACTTGAGGGAAATTCACTCTCTGGGGCTTTGCATGCAAGGGACCAGAGCTGCCATTCTGGGATGCAAAGAACTAGAGGCTCCTACCAGGTTCCTGGAGAGAGCAGCTCTGCACAGACACTCTCCGGTCTCCACATCCCATTTGCGAATGGTGTTGTCTCGTGAACCTGTGCACAGCCGCGATGCATCTGCAAGAGCAAGTCAGCATGCAAACACGGCCGTGCTACAGCAGGAAGAACCACTTGGGCAGTGTGCTACTGCTCACCCGGGCTCACAGCCAGCCCAGTAACAACCAGCTCATGGCCTGGGAAGAACTGCCTTGGCCCTGAGGTCCCGTGGAGCTCCCACATCATTACTGTTCTGTCCCGGGATGCACTGAAGGCTCTGTTGGAATCATGGGTGCAGGTGACCTGCAGAGGAACAGACGGAGAAATGGGTTGGGCTCTGGCCTGGCCATGTGCTGGGAAAGCACAGCTGCTCTGCTTCCTGCCCGTGGCAGCACTGTGACAACAGACACTGCGGACAAGAAGGGATCAGTGCTGAGGTTGGAGGGATCCCCAGCTCAGCTGTGCTGCCCGGAGCCACTCACACCGTGAGGAGTGCCTGCAGCCCCAGGCAGGGCCTGGTGAGCAGCGAAAGGGAAATGTTGGCAGTTCCCATCACTGTCCCTGTGGCACAGCTACAGAGACACAGGGATTAACCTGCTTCACTGGGTGAGCGCAGAGCTGCTGAGCTGAGGCTTGGATGGTGTGAGGTCAGATATTTCCCTGTATGGCAGCACAGCAAGAAATGCTTCTTTTCTTGTACTGGGTCTCACAGGAATAAGCAAAGCACATTGTTGGTGCAAAGACACCTCACTGCAAAGTTTGAAACCCTGCTTTGAAGCCCACGTGACAGAACTTCCTGTAAGGAGACACTGGAATCGACACCATGCTGCACCTCACCCCCATTCTATCCTCAGAAAATCCATTTTATGGGGAAAAGAAAACTTTCTGAGAAACCCAAACGAGCACACTGCACGTCACTGTGAGCACTGGGAGCTATGAAAGGTGAGAAGGAGCACAGGGGACTGCTGGGTGCTGCCAGGGCCCCCAACAGAGCAGAGTGAGCGCCCTGCAGATACCAGACTGCCACTGCTGCTCCCGGTGCACTCCTTGATGCTCACCTTGGTGACCTCGTGCTCATGGCTGATGAAGCGCCCCAGCACAGCTCCGGACCTCCAGTTACAGACAGCCACACTCTGCAGAGAGCCAGGGGAAGGAAGTCAGCGGTGGCAGTGGAACAGGACACAGAGGGCTCACACACAGCCTTGGTTTATGTTACACTGAGCCAAAGAGGGAACAGACTGTTCTGCTTGTGAGCTCCTACAGCAAGCACAGCTGTCTTCGGAGCACATCCCACCCTGCCCACATCCTCCTTATTGAGGGTCACAGAGGGACCTGGATAGATTGGATTGATGGGCCAAGGTAAACTCTATGAGTTTCAATAGGGCCAAGTGTCGGGTCCTGCATTTTGGTCACAACAACCCCAGGCAACCCTACAGGTGTGGGGAGGAGTGGCTGGAAAGCTGCCTGATGGAAAGGGACCTTGGTGTATGGAGTTGGCTGAATGTGAGCCAGCAGTGTGCCCAGGTGGCCAAGAAGGCTTGCATCAGGAGTGGTGCGGTTGCAGGACCAGGGAAGTCATTCTGCCCCTGTGCTTGGCACTGGTGAGGCCTCATCTGGAGTTCTGTGTCCAGTTTTGGGCACCTCGGTACAGAAAGGACATGGAGGTGCTGGAGCAGGTCTAAAAAAGGGCAATAAGGCTTGTGAAGGACTTGGAGAATATGGCCTACGAGGAGAGACTGAAGGAACTGGACTGTTTAGTCTGGGGAAAAGGAGGCTGAGGGGAGACCTGATTGCTGTCTTCCAATATCTGAAAGTGCTTACAGAGAGAGCGGGGTTGGTTTCTTCTCACTGGTGACAGGACAAGGGGAAGCCAGGGTTGCGCCAGGGTAGGTTTAGGTTGGATATTAGGAAATACTTCTTTACTGAAAGGGCTGTTAAGCACTGGAATGGGCTGCCCAGGGAGGTGGAGTCCCCATCCCTGAATGTGTTTAAAAACCATCTGGATGTGGTGCTCAGGGACACGATTTAGCAGAGGGTTGATAGTTAGGGCAGTACAGTTAGGTCGTGGTTGGACTCAATGATATTTAAGGGCTTTTCCAAACGGAGTGATTCTATGATCCTCTGATTCTATTGTACCTTATCCTTTCCTCCTGACACGCAGAGCTCTGGTCTGACAGCAGCCACGCAGGTGACAGCATCGCTGTGTGCAGGGCTGTGCAGCTCCACCACCGCACCACATCCTGGCCTTCCCATGGAGCCATCAGCCCTGCAGGCGGCAGAGGGACAGCAGAAGTGTGTTTTTAGGTCAGATATTAGGACAAATTTCTTATCAGAGAGTGGAGAGGCAGTGGCACAGACTGCCCTGGGGGTGGGGGGGTCCCTGGAAGTGTTCAGGAAATGTGGAGACGTGGCACTGAGGGATGTGGTCGGTGGTGGGAATGGGTTGGGGCTGGGGATCCTTGAGGCCTTTTCCAATCTGAATGATTCCCTGATTAAGGGTAGATCATTTGGCCTCCAGAGCTCTGTGTTAGCAACTTACAGGGAGTGTAAATGGTCACACCGACACGCTCAGCCACTCCTGTGAGTTACATTTTGGATCCCATCCCCCCAAAGAAGCCAGGCAGCAGCAAGGCTCAAAAATGAAGATCTGATCCATAAATTCAGTAATGAAACCAAACTCACATGCTTGAAATGTTCCCCACTCACCCAGCCCCTTTAGTAACCCAAGATACGACCATCTGAGGATGCTTTACCCGTACGTGGCCGTGTGCAAGCTGATCTTACTCTGCAGTTTCCCCATCCCACCGCTGAACACACAGCATCAGCTGCAGGCAGCAGCACGGAGCATCACAACGCCGGGCTCAGGCTCTCACTGCTGGCTGCGAGGAGACGCAGCACGACCAGAGATCCAGAGAGATTTCTGCTTCTCACACATCCAGGATAAAGTGCTGCTCCCCCTCCTCTGGGGTCACGTGCTGGGGGATGCCCACCCTGTGCACGACACCAACACCGAATGGACACCGCCTGCAGGCACAGACACAGGGCAGCCACCAATAAACCCATTTCAATGGCAGCGAATTACCGAGTCCAGTAATTGGATTCCCTGCAGATGAAGATACACCAATTGGATTTAGTCTGCGTTAGGCGTACGTTAGTGCTCCATCTCCTGGGCAGGTATTCTGCCAACAGAAGGTCAGAAGAAAACCCAGCTTCTATTGGTTGAGTTACTTCCTACTGGAAGAAAATGCATGCATTCAGTCTGCCCAGAGACAGGGAAGCTCCATACCAGCAGCACTCAGCAGGGGTCGGTGACATTCCACAACACATTCCCTTTCTAATTTTACCCTGGCAGCCTCTGTGATTAGCAATTACTAATACCAGCTAATCTCAGCCTTCTCTATCCACAAGCTTGAATGTTCCAAAGGTGCAGAGAACCATCCAGCTCACAGCTCCAGGCAGCGTTACGCTGCTCATTCATTTCCTTCCATCAGAATGAACATCAAAGCACTTTGGGACATTGGGAACAAAAGTGGTTTTTCCGTGACAGCGAGAGAATGCAGGAAATTATTTCTCCTGCAAAATAAAACGGCATGAGCTGCTAAGGCTTAAACTCTGACTTAAGTTCCTGCCCTTGGTTTCTCCCACAAGCATAGCCATCCATCCTTCCTGCCCCGATGGCTGCAGGGAGAGCAGCGCTGCGCCGGGCAGCCGCCGCGTCCTTCTGCCGTCTGCAAAGAGCGGATCCCTCTGGGTCCCGAAGGAACGATCGGCTCCGTGGACGAGGCTGTACTGCTCGTAGCTTCCCTATGGGTTTGCCACGACCCGAAGCCCCTTCCACAGCACGGAGCCGCACTCGGGGACCCCCCGCCCACCGGGAATCTCCCGTCCTCCCAACGCACCGCTTCACAGAAACCAGAATCATTCTTTTAAAACCAGATTATCATTTTTTTAAAGCCGGCCCTTCCGTTGCCCGTGGTGCTGTAGTGGCACCGCAGCGATAACCGCACGACAGAACGAGGGACGGCGGCAACCCGGCGTGCGGGCACCGATTCCCGCACACTCTTTCCCCCATCGCCACGGCGCCGGCGGAGCTCGCGTACGTCCGAAGGATGCCGGCAGACGCAAAGCTTCCCGCAGCCCCACCGCAGCCACACGACCTGACGTCCCCCGGGAAGCACCACCTCGCACTCACCGCTCCGCGTCGCCGCTCCGTATCCCCGCTCCCTGCGGTTCCATGGAGACGGGCGGGGCGGGACGGGGCGGGCAGTGCTGATCCCTCCCGGCCCGGCCCCGTCGCACCACCGCCCCCCGCACCTGCAGCAGGTGCCGCCGCGCACGCAGCATGGCCCGACGGGGCGCGGAGCCGCGGGCGCTGCCCGAGAGGGCGGCTGAGCTGCGGGTGAGCGGGCGGGGGAACGCCGGGGGTCCTCGCCGCGGGAGGGAGGCGAGCGGGGTGCTGCGGGCTGGGCCTGCGCCTGCGCCTGGTCAGGGGTGGGGAGGTCTGCCTTCCTCCCTCCGGCTTGAGATTTCTGCGGGTGGCTGCGGGGGGCCCGGTGGGAGTGAATGGGGCTGTGTGCGTGAGGGCGGGCGGAGGGGTTGCGGCAGGGCTGTCCCGGATCTACCAGCCCCGCCGGTGCCGGGCCTGAGCGCTGCTCCGCTCTCCGCGTTCCAGAACAAACTCGTGGACCGATGCGAGCGGCTGCAGCTGCAGAGCGCTGCTATCGCCAAGCACGTGGACGAGGTGCTGCCCGCCAGGAGCCAGGGTGTGCTGGTAAGTCCTTGCCCTGTCCTGGAGCAAAACCGGTCCCGGGGCTCCTTGGCGTGCAGGTGTTGGTGTGCTGCCATCCAACATCACGCTGGAATCTCAGAATGGCCAGGGTTGGAAGGGATCTCAAGGATCGTGAAGCTCCAACCCCCTGCCACAGGCAGGGCCACCAACCTCCACATTTCAGAGCAGCCCAGGCTGCCCAAAGGCCCCATCCAACCTGGCCTTGCACACCTCCAGGGATGGATGGGGCATCCACAGCCTCTCTGGGCAGCTGTTCCAGCACCTCACCACTCTCTCTGTCAAGAACTTCCCCCTAACATCCAACCTCAATCTTCCCTCCTTGAACTTAAAACCGTTTCCTCTTGTCCTGCTGTTATCTACCCTTTCCAAGAGTTGAATCCCCTTCTGTTTGTAGGCTCCCTTTAGGTACTGAAAGGCTGCAATGTGGTCACTCCAGCTAGGGCTGGCACCTCATCTTCCCTGCTCTGCTTTGTGCTTTGCTGACCCTGAAGATGAAGGCAGCTATCGTGGTCAGCACTGCTTTTTGCTGATGTTGATTCCTGGCAGTTCAGAGGAGGGCTGGTATTTGGGACCCAGGCAGAGCAGGTGGTTGTTGCTTCCATGCTGCAGTGGTTAGTGGTCAGTGTGCAATTAGTTTGTGTGCTGGTTGGGCCAGGAGGCGGCCAGCAGGTTTGGGGTTGGTTAACCCATTCACCTCTGTGTGCATCACCATGTGGCTCGGGCTCAGTTAACAGCTGAGCCCTTGGGGGCTGTGGGTGTTCATTTGGGTTGCAGCTGTTTCTCCTCTCTCCTTTCCTTGCAGAGCGCTGCTAACAGCGCACGAGAGTTGGTCATCCAGAGGCTGATCTTCGTGGGGAAGGTGTGTGAGAACGAGGAGCAGCGGCTGCTGGAGGAGGTGCACGCCGAGGAGGAGCGGGCACAGCAGAGCATCCTGACACAGCAGGCGCACTGGACGGAGGCACTGCAGAAGCTGTCTGCCCTCCGCACGTACCTGGTGGACACGATCACCAACCTGGACGACCAGGGCTTGGTGGTGAGTGCCCCTCCCCAAACCAAGGCATGGCCCAGCTGCCCAGAAACAGCCTTGGTTTTTCATTGCGGATGCTCAGACTTAATTATGGTGTTGATTAGTTTGTGCACTGACAGCAGGCGGCTGGAATTGGGCTTCAGGCAATCCCAACAATCCCCCCAGGTTTCTAGGTGGGTGTGATGCTGCCCACTTGGTGCAGGTCGGACTGGGCTGTCAGCTTTCTGCTGTCCTATTAATAAAAATATGTTCCTTGGGAGCACCTGCAGCTCTTCTTGGAGGTCCATCCTGTTGTGCAGCATATACCTCTGTCTGAGGTATTAGCCATACAAAGCAGTGTCTGCTTCCCTTTGCTCAGCTGCTTTTCCAACTGCTAAACTGCATTTTACTAATCGGCTTCTCTTGCTTTAGATGCAGGCAGGAAGGCACTGCACCTCCTGCTTGCTCTTAGCTGCTGCTCATCATATCTAACCTGATAGAGAGGCCATAAGGCCCTTTTATTTCTCCTTTTGCCAAGTAAAGGAAGGGGAATAGCATTCATAAATTCTCCACCCTGGGTGCTTGGTGTTGGTATTTATTACAAACTGATATGTGTCATCTCATGGCAAACTGAGAAGCACATAGTGAACCCTGCAGCTCTGAGCTGGGCTCTGAATTTCTGCTACTGCTTTGCTAGCTGATGTCACCAGAGAAGGGCCCAGTGTCAGCAGTTGTAGGGAGGAGTGGAATTGCTCACAGCATTGTCTGTCTTTTGCCTTAGGGTCTGTAACCCTTGCAGCACCTTTACTGAAGGCTTTTAGGATTGTTGGCTGCTAGCACAGGGTGCTCCTGCAGTGCCCCAGAGGTGGGGAGGAGGGAGGGACACAGGACAGAACCTGACAGACAGACAGGACTGGGGTTTTCTCACCTTGGGCAAGGCAGGATGCAGCAGTAAGAGGCTCCAGGCGCATCCAGCTTGGTGTGTACCAAAGGACAGGGGTCCGATCTGCTGCTTTGTGATTCCCTGCTGTAGGTCTCCCTCGTGTTTCCCTTGCAGCAGGTGAGCCAGCTGTGTTTGCTGTCTCCTGCTCCCCACAGCTTGCAGGTTGTCTGGAGGGCCCCGTGCTGTGCCCCAGAGCCGCTGCCACCTGCCAGTTTGGCAGAGCTGAGCTGTAGGTACAGGGAACATGCAGCATCCTCAGCCATTCCCATTCATTTTCTGAGGCAAGGAGTGACAAGTGCCGCAGCCAAAGTAAATGGATGTTGGATGCTTGCTGAGGCCATGGCTGTGGTTGGGGGTGTTTTCTGTGGGTCAGGAAGGAGACTGGTGCTCCCTGGGTCCCTGGTTTGCTGTGCCCCAGCCTGAGTTTGGGATTTTCTCTGTGGGAATTTCAGCTGTGTTGACTTTTTCTCTCTTTGTCCCCAGAACGCGGAACAAGAGATCTTCGAGAGGTCAGTACCTACCTGCTCCTGCATTTCCTCACCCCTTCTCTGAGCCTGCCCAGCACCTCCTGCCTTCCCCCAGTGGGCAGCACGCCACAGCTCTGCTCTTCCCTCCCTTGTTCCCAAGACAAGGACAGAGAACAGAGATTCTCATGTGTCCTCTGGTCTTTGCTTCGAAAGGGCTGGAGGCCAGGCTGTGCAGTGCCCCTCTGCAGGCACCTACAGGTGCTCTGGCACTTGCTGGCAGGAGACTTCCTCCAGCCCCTCAGAAAACAGCACTGCCCTGGAGGCAGGGTCACATCGCCCATCTGAGGAGCTGGCCTGCTGTTCCTGCCTGCAGCTTTCCTGCAGAGAACAATAAACCCGCTGCACGATGTGCAGCATATCGTGCTGCCAGCACCAGATGAGCTGATGTGTGCTGAAGGCTGCAGGAACCCAGCAGGTCCTTAACCTCATTACGTGGGATCTGCAGTCCCAGCTCACTCCTCTGCTCTAGCAATTAGGCTTTGTCCACAGAAAACCTCACAGGGAAACCCCATGCTCTCCCTGCAGCCCTCCATTGTTTTCCCCTTGTATCTTGATGGCTGGTATCGGCTGCACGTAACCTGCATGTGCTGCATGAGGAAGCTATTGACTCAGGCTGCAGGGTTGTGTTTTAAAGCTGAAGTCCTTTCAGAAGGGGCTGTGATGAAAACCAACCAAAAGTATTGCTTTGGAGGAGAGCAGTGTCCCTGCAGTGAGTGCCACTCTGGTGACTCCTCCAGCTCATGTCTCTGTGCTCCTTCCCCCAGACCTCTGCCACCTCCTCTCAGCAACTGTCAATTAATCACCTGATTTCAAAGTAACTGCTGTGTCTCTTTGCTAGGACAGAGTTGGCAGAGGGAATCTTAGAGCCACAGGAGTCTGCCAAGTTAAACTTTAATCAGCAGCGTGTTCAGAGTCCGCTGCTGCACCGGCTGTGGGCCTCTGCCGTTCTCTGCTGTATGGCAGGTCAGTGTCCTACTCAGATTTGGATTTCTGCAAGCTCGTTTTGCACCCCAATAAAGCCCTGGGTGCAGTGTGACCGCCCTGAGGCTGTGTCCTGCCCCCTGGAGGACCTGGCACCTCCTGTCCCCCTGTGCTGCCTCGCCTCCACGTGCTCCCTGGGGCTCACCGGGTGGGCAGCAACAGCTTCAGGGCTGGGAATTCAGGCAGTGGCTCTGATCAATGGCTCTGAGCAGCTGCGGGTGGCTGTGAGCCTGGGGAGCCATGTCCTGGTGTGCCGGGGCAGCAGTGATGGTGTGGCAGCTCTGAGCAGGAGTGGTTTTCATCTGGCAACGATCAGCTTGGATGGCTGACTGTGAAATGTTTGCTCTCCCGGGATGTTGTTAGAGCATTTCAAATGTATTTCTTGTTCCTCAAAGGTGCTGACATCCTTCACAATTTGAAAAGGTGCCCATCTCCCCTCCCTGGGGTAATCTTCCCAATGCTCACATGATAACTCCTGACTTCTGCTCACCTCACTCTTGGTGGTGATGAGCGCTCCCCAGATCCCTTGCAAGTGCGTGTACTTCTGACTGGTATCACTCTAAGGTTGTGTGTCAGCTGTGTGGCAGATAGTGCCAATGTTTGTGTCTTCTGCTGCAAACTCTGGTGCTGCTCTGCCTCTGAGATTAATTCAGCAAAATCCTGCAGTTGCTATTGGCAAAGCTGAGCAGGTTCTCAGATTTTTTCCCAAGTCAGCCTCTAGTTCCCTTTGCTGTGATGTAGTTTTCCTATGGATTCCTTTCCCAGTCTCATCCTTGCCAGCTGTGAGGACCTTGAGGCACCAAATCACAGTGCTGGGTTTGTACCTGCACACGATACATGGAAATTTCACTCTGATGCTTTCTGTGTGTGTGTGTGTGTGTGTGTGTGGTTGGATTTCACACACCACTGTCATAGGGTGCCTGCTTGTCTCACTAATCCATAGTCCACCCAGGACATAGCTTAACAAATGTAATATTAACTGCAGCAGCCCCAGCTTGCATTAAGACACAAAGTCCCATAAAGCCCTTGGCAGCTTTCTAGGAGGGCTCTGGTCCTCCTGGGGAGGGGTCTGAGCATTGAGCCCAAGGGGCCTGCACTAACTTGATGCCCGCGTTGGGCTGCGAGGGTTTCAGTATCAGGTGTGAGACTGGAAATAGGAACTTGGCTTTTTCCATGCAGTAAAGTGTGTTGTGATTAACACAGACCTACTGAGCAGACTTATTAGCTTATCTCAGCCCATTCCATCGTGTCTCTGGAGTGGCAGCCCAGTGGTTTGGTTATCTGGGGCCTCATCCTGCCAGGTGTTGAATGCTGGGCAGGGGCTGATGGAGCAGGAATGGGCTTTTTGTGTGGCTGAGCTCCTCTTACAGCCTAGCCCCGAGGTGTGGGGTGGCACAGCAAAAGGCTCACCTGCTCCAGCCCCATTTCTGCATCAGCTGAAGGCAGAAAATGAATGAGAGAGGGTGGGGAAAGCAGGGCAAGGAAAAGCACTGGACAGGGAAACTGCATCTCCTGGGAGCAGGCAGAGGTGAGTCACGTGGGCAGCAGCCTTTCCCCTTCGCTTAGAGATTTACAGAGCTGGGGAAATATTTGTGCAGTTACTCAGCGCTCACACCCTGCTGTGGGCTGCTGAGGTGTGTGTGGAGGAAGGGTGGCACAGGGAGAGTGTGCGGGGGCCACAGGGCTGGGTGCTGCCTCTGTGCTGTGAATGAAGGACCTGTCCTTGCATCACAGCAAAAGAGATGAGCAGTGGTTCATGCAATTCCTGGTGCCACCTCCTGAGGCTGTTCCAAACCACTCAGGACTGGTGGACTGTTCTGAGCTGATGAACTTTGGGCTGAGTGTGCTTTGTAGCGGGGAAGGGACTTCCTCTGCCCGTCCCTCCTTGTCCCAGCAGTACCAGCTTTGCTGGTTTTCCCAAACAAGTGCCTTCCTGGTAGGCTCCTGGCTCACCTTGGGGAGAAGGAGCAGGGAGTCTGCAGGAACAGGGTTTGGGTTTGGGTTTCTCCCTGCCATGGATAGGAATTACACCCAGTCCCTGCTCAGATCACTGCTCTCCTTCACACTATTTGGCAGCCTGTCTGTATGGGACAGGAACCCCAGGCCGTTGCTGTAGATGTGTTCTGGTGCAGTGAGTGCAGATTCCTGGCTGGATTTGGCCCGTGGCTCTGAGCTGTCTCCTTCCATCCCTTCTCACACCACTCTGGGAAGTGGCAACACAAGTGCTGCCCTTATCACCGTGGGGAGCATTTGGACCCATCGCTGTGGGTTCTTGGGGCGGTGAAGGCCCTCCATGTGCTCACTGTGTGCTTCTCTCCCAGGCTCTCAGGAAATCAGCATAGACGAGAAAACCGTCAGCCCCCACCTAAGCCTGTCAGAAGACAAGAAGACCCTGACCTTCAGCCCCAAGAAAGCAAAGCTGGACTTGGATGACCCCGAGCGCTTTGACCACTGGCCCAACGCTTTGGCTGCTGCGGCTTTTCACACGGGGCTCCACGCATGGAAGGTCAGCGTGGAGAAGAGCTGTGCCTACAAGCTGGGGGTGTGCTACGGCTCGCTGCCACGGAAGGGGCCTGGCAATGAGGCCCGCCTGGGCTTCAATGCTGCCTCCTGGGTCTTCTCACGCTACGACAAGGAGTTCAGGTTCTTGCATGCCAGTCAGCCCCAGCCTGTGGAGCTGCTCAGGGCCCCGGCTGAGATCGGTGTGCTGGTTGACTTTGCGGGAGGGGAGGTGCTTTTCTACGACCCCGACTCCTGCACCATCCTCTTCTCGCACAGGGAGGCCTTTGCAGCACCAGTCTACCCCGTCTTTGCGGTGGCACACCAGAGCATCTCGCTCAGCCGGTGAGAGAGGTGGGCTGCAAACATAGGGCTGTATGGACAGTGATTGTATACACCACAGTGCCTTTGCGGGCTACCAGCATGTACAGTGATCAGAAAAGACTTGCCTTCAGCCACTACATCTGTTCTCTCATTTTACAATGGCTTTCATCTCCTTCAGGCTGCCGAGCATGTGATGTTTGCCCTCCAGGACCCAGAGCCAGGACCTTTGGAAAAGGTCAAATTAGACCCCAAGCACCTCCCACAGGAGCACAGTGCCTTCTGAAGACTTGTGAGCTCTCCCCAGCTCCCATGCTGTTGGAGTCCTCAGGGCTGGAAGGGGGGCTGGGAAGTGCTGCAGCAGGAAGCAGAGCTTCCACTGAGCCCAGTCCAGCATGGGAGGACCTTGGCATCAACACCACAGTTTGCTCAGCAGAGCTGGGAGTGCAAGGTGGGGAGAGCAAAATTGTGAAAGCTGGGATATGGGATCAGTGTTTAACACCTGGCTCTGCCAGTCCTCTGTGAGTGAATCATTCCTCTTCAAGACAAGGGTTTCTTTCCAGCTCCAATGGAGAGGAACACAGGCAACAAAACACTCCATGCTGCAGGAATGAAAATTATTTCAATCTTGCCTAAAGGTTAAAAGCTGTTTGGAGAAATGAAGGAGAAGTGGCAGAAGGCATGGAAGGCTGTAGGGACACTGGGAAAGAGGAGCCCTAGTGGGAGGAGGGACACCATGAATGGGGGTTGTCACCCATGTGAGAACCCACACTGGGCAGGGCACCCTCATGGACCATCAGCATCTCCCAGAGCAGAGGAGCAGCAAGAGAGGAGCCATTAGCATTGACCTGAATGGAGCTGTTTGTTCCTGGGGCTTGGCAAGGTTGAGCATATTACAGTGAAAACAAGCAGCTGATTGATAGTAAAAAAGGTGTTGGACTGACACTGAGCTTGGGTGAAGAAATGCATTTCCTTGGTGTTTAAAAATTGTTATCTTTATTTAAGTTCTCATTTAAGTTCTTTACAGAGAGTGGTGAGGTGCTGGAACAGCTTCCCAGAGAGGCTGTGGATGCCCCGTCCATCCCTGCAGGTGTTCAAGGCCAGTTGGATGGGGCCCTGGGCAGCCTGGGCTGGTATGAAATGTGGAGGTTGGTGACCCTGCCTGTGGCAGGGGGTTGGAGCTTCATGATCCTTGAGGTCCCTTCCAACCCTGGCCATTCTGTGATTCTATTTCTCAATAACCAAAACAGTAATTAAGATTGCTGGCAGTAAATTACACTAAGCAAAATTCTGCATCTCCAGACCACTTTGCCCATAACAGGAGGGCTGTGATTGCTGCCATCTACAGCTCCAGGGCAGAGGGAGATTCTTGTTGAGGTGGCAAACCTGAGGTCCACCAGGTGTGCAGATACAGCGCAGTGACTGCTCTGCTGGCAGCCTGTCCCCAGACAGCTCTGCAGGAATCAGTGACTAAGAAGAGGTAACTATCAGTCTGCCATCCCTCCTGATGGAATTAACTTGCGCAACATATGTGAATGAGTGTAAGTGAAATGCTTTCTGTGCTGCACCCTGATACATTCCCCAGTTCCAGCAGCAGAAGGCCCCACCCCACACGAAGCACTTGGAAAGAAAACAGCACAAATGCTGTGTGTGCCAGGAACACTTTATTGCCTGAATGTTGCTCCTGCAATGTGGGCAGGGCCTCTCCCCATGCTCAGAAGCGCTCATTTATTTTCCTTACCCCAAAAAGCAGCAAGAAGTCACGGTCCAGGAGCGGACTGCCACTCAGCAGCAGCACTGGTTCTTCCAAAGGGCAGCTCTTGTTGCTACCCCTTCTCAATGACAGCCAAGAGACGGCTCAGTGTGGGCAGGATGTGTCCCGGCGGCACCTCTGGCTGTGTGCTCTGCCCAGGGGTGTGGAGCAGGAAGCTGTGCATGCCCACCTCCCGTGCCGCCCTGTAATCCCTGCTGTAGTCATCCCCGATGTGGGCCGCCTGCTCAGGCAGTGCCCTACCAAGGCATAGGGCTGTCTTGAAGATCTTCGGGTTTGGCTTAGCAACACCCACAGCCTCAGAGGTGAGCACAAAGTGGAAGTGGTGCCGCAGGTTGCACTGCACCAGGATGCTTTCCAGCCGGTTATCGAAGTTGGAGACCACACCCATGCGGAAGCCGTGCCGGCGGCACCAGCTCAGGGTCTCCCCGGCTTCCGGCAACAACTCCCAATTGCGTGCACTGCAGTAGTCCCGGTAAAGGTTTTCCGCCATCAGTGAGAGCACCGCGTCTTCGTGCACACCCGTGAGCCGAAAGGTTTCCTTGACGACATCCACCCACCACTGCCTGGAGCTCAGCCCCTCGGCCCGGCCGTAGTTGGGGAAGCGGAGGCTCTGGGCCCTGTAGGCCGCACGGAAGGATTGGCTGAGCGCCTCCGGCTGCAACTGGACGCCATGGGCCTGAGCCTCGGCCGCATAACTCAGCCCCACGGGCTGCCGGAGCCGCAGGAGGGTGTCCTTCACGTCCCACGTCAAAAGGCGCAGCCTGAGCATCGTTTCAGTCAAAGTTAGGGTTAAAGGGAACCTACAGCACACACGGGGGCGACGGCACGACGCACCGCACGGCCATATCAGCCCCGATCTGGGACCTGCGCTGAGGCGGGGGGACTTGGGGACGGAGCGGAACGGCCCCGCTCAGCCCCAGCCGCGCCGCTGCCCAGGCCGTGCCCCAGACCGGGGCTGCGGGGCCGGGCCGAGTAGCCCCGCTCCGCCCCTACAGCTTCCGGTTTCGCTCATAACATTTCCGGCTCCGCCCTAGCGCTTCCGGTTGCGTGCCTGGCACTTCCGGCCTGCCCACCGGCTCAGGCCCGCCCCACCGCTGCCTCCTCCCTCAGCCAGCGCAGCAGCTGCGGCGCAAAGTACGTGATGATGGTGTCGGCCCCTGCGGGAGGACAGCGGATGGGAAGCGGGGATCGGGGCTCCAGGCAGCCTGGCCCCGTGCCTTCCCGCTTCTCACCTGCACGCCGGAAGGCGGCCATGGCCTCCATGACCGCGGCCTTCAGGCTGAAGGCGCCCACCTGCGCCCCGTGCCACAGCATGGCGAACTCTCCCGAGACGTGGTACACGGCCAGAGGGTGCGTGGGGTGCTGCAGGCAAAGGCAGGGGTCAGCGGGACAGCCGGGCATCATCTGTCCACCCTAGGGACTGGAACTCTTCCGCTGTGCAGTGTCTCCTCTCCCCACCAGTTTTGGAAAGGGGCCATCGCTGTCCCCAACCCACTTCTCCCTTGGGGACACCCGGTGTCCTCAGCCGGGCCTTACCCGCTCCTTCACATCCCGCACAAGGTCCAGGTAGGGCATCCCAGGCTTCACCATCAGCATGTCTGCGCCCTCACGCACGTCCCGGTCCTGCAGGGAGAACGCACACAATCCCTGCAGCTCACAACTGATGGATGTTTCCTCAGAATTTCTGACCCAGTGACTACTTTCCCAGGAGTCCGGGACACAGAAGGGGCCCCTGATGTCCACAGGAGCCCACAACTGGGCCTGGAACCTCATCCCTTGTCCCCATACTCCAAGCCACAGTGGGGAATGGAGTGCCCAGCTCCTTATACATATTCTTCAGGCTCTGCGGTGAGCTGATGGTCATCGAGGCTCTGACTTGTGCAGGGAAAGGACCCTTGGCCATCTTGGATGGATGAGTTTTTTGGTCCCCACAGAGCCACAGGGCCTGCCTGGACTCACCACAGCTCGTAGTGCCAGACCGCGGGCACCTGGGGGCAGCTGGTAGCAGCGCCGATCTCCAAAGGCAGGTTTGGATTGTGCAGCATCCCTGGGAACAAGCAGGGCACAGGGATCAGTGCCTTCAGTGTGAGGCCAGGTTGGACCAGCGGCCAGAGCTGTTCCCCCTTCCTCCCCATCTGACTCAGGATGGGGAGCAGCCCCAGCAACCCTCTGCACCCACAGCCCTCCCCATGCCCATAGGGTTGGGGTAAAGCTGATTTAAATATTTTCCTTTTGTTTCTGAGTTTTTCAGGAGCTCTATTGGGGTCCAGGCCTTTCTTGGGATGAGCTCTACCTGCTGAGCCAAGGCTCATTCCAAAATACACTCTGGTGCACTCCCTCCTTGCTGCTCCTGCAAATATGGGCTGTTTCTATCTCTGTAGAACCTCACCTGAAGGGTCCATAGAAGCATGAAGCAAACTTGGCACTGTAGCTCATCACTGACACCTGCAGAGGAGAGAGGTGCTGTGAGGGCTGGAGCTCTTTGCTGCATCCCAGCTCGAGGGTGGTAGGAATTCCCTCCTACAGTTGGTTTATATTCTGTCTTGTTCCTCTGTTCTCTACCAGAGGCCTGGTGCCTCACTGGCCCCACGCGACTAGCCAAGAACTTCCCCTTTCTCCATGCACTAGGGCAGGAAAATGCCTGCAGCATATCCTGAACAATGTGGAGGTTTGCCTCTTCCACTCTATGCCCAGGCTGCTCCAGGTGCAGCCACCCCGTTGGGGTTGCTCCCATGGCACACACATTTCACGCTCACCCTGTTGCCCATGTCGTTGGAGATCAGAGCCTTCTTTATGGCTGCAATGCGTCCATCCATCATATCCGAAGGGGCAATGATGTGGCAGCCTGCAGGGGGAGGCCAGAAATAACAAACCCAAGGCTCTATCTGCCTGCAGGAGGAGGTGACCCTGGGCAACTCCCTCATAGGACTGAAGGAGGTGTCTGGAGTCACAGAATCACAGAATCACCCGGGTTGGAAGGGACCTCAAGGATCATGTAGTTCCAACCCCCCTGCCTAGCAGGGCCACCAAACACACACATTCAGATCAGGTTGCCCAGGACCCTGTCCAACCTGGCCTTAAACACATCCAAGGACGGGGCATCCACAACCTCCCTGGGCAGCCCGTTCCAGGGCCTAACCACTCTCCTTGTATAGAACTTCCCCCTAACATCCAACCTAAATCTTCCCTCCTTCAACTTCGATCCATTTCCCCTAGTCCTGCTGTTGTCAGCCCTTTTGAAGAGTTTACTCCCCTCGTGGGTGTAGGTTCCCTTCAGGTATTGATAGGCTGTAATGAGGTCACCCCGCAGCCTTCTCTTCTCCAGGCTGAGTCCCTGCAGCTCCTCCAGGATTGGCAGGTGGATGCTTCCCCAGCTCAGTGGGAGCCCTCCCACTGGAGCTAGGCACGGTTTGCTTTTGGGCTGACTATAAGTGAGAGGGGGCAAGGTGACAAGAATCATGTGTGGTTGCTGCTGCTAGGCACTGCTCACCTGCTTGGGCATAAGCCAGTGCCACTTCTGCTAGCCGCTGGCAACTGGCCTCATTCTGGATGGTGCCATCTTCCCGCAGGATGCCTGCAAGAAAAAATGAATCAGGCAAGGGACAGGACAGTGAGGTGATGGCCTTGATCCTTGGAGTTCTGTAACAAGCTATAGAGATGTTCAGAACAACAGTGGGGAAGGAGTTGGGAGTCTTGGTAAGAGGAAGGTGCCTGAACAGCACCCCAGTCCCCCATGCTGTGTGCTCACCACAGTGCCCATGGGAGGTGTAAGGACACAAGCAGACATCACAGGCAATGAGCAGCTGTGGGAATGTGGAGCAGATCTTCCTGATGGCCTGGATGGCAGGTGTGTCTTCTGCATCTGCAGCAGAGCCTCTCTCATCCTGCAAGAAGAGAAGGGCCTGGGCACATAGAGCTAAGGGCCTCCCATCAGTTCCTCCGTGGCCGCAGGTATGTTCTTGAACAATAGACCTCATACTGCAGAGTGGTGTGATCACCAGTTGTGGAAAAGGGTGACAGAGCAGCGTGACCAAAATGAGCACAGATCTTGGGGCCTCCCTGCAACAGCTCCCAGTGCAAGACTGGGTCAGGAGGAGCAGCACAGGATGTGCTCTTCTCAAGCTTCAGTGCTGCTCTCTGAAATGTAGAGCATCTCATCTCCCACTCAT